ACAGCGAGAGCAGGAACACAAGCAGGGGGAGTGGGAGAGGGAGAAGCAGGCTTCCTGCCAAGCAGGGAGCCCGATGTGGGGTTCAATCCCAGGACCCTGGGATCATGACCTGAGCCAAAGGCAGACGCTTAACGACTGAGCCACCCAGGGGCCCCCTGAGTGGGGTCTTTAACATCTATCAGGGAAAATAGATCCGGACCCCCAAATCTGCATTTACACAGATCTGTTGCTTAGAACGAGGCTCAATTAGGTATCGCCAAGGTGTCCACCCTCTGCAGCCCACGGGTTATGGTGAGGGGTGTGGGGAGAAAGGGGTGTCCGTGACTCCCATTACCACAGACCTCTCTCCCCACAGGCACTGTAAAGTCAGCTTTGAACTGTGAGGCGGGCCACCTCATCCCAACTGCTCAGTTCCCACCACGACCAAGCCGGAGCCCTACCCCTGCCCCCCTCAAATTCCTCACTCCATCCGTAATCCTTCTCCATAATAGCCCTTACTCACCTCCTTCCTGTTTCTTAAACACCCTTCCCATTTCCCAGACGGAGGGTACCTCTTCTTCCATAATGTTCTCTTCATCAGTCACCTTGTTTCCTTCTTTCTTGTGGGGGTCCTAGGAAGCGCCAGCGCCCCGACTGACCGTGCCTGGTGTTTTCCACCCTCCCTAACTGTAGTCTGTCCTGTCTCAACACTATCGCATATATTTCACGCATCTTCCACACCCCCATCACTTCACTGTGGCCAAACAGTACTTTCTGCTGATGCCTTCATCTCCTCCATAAACACCCCCCTCAGCCAATTCTTGTGCTACCCCAAAACTCCCTCATTTACATTCTGATTGGGTCTATAAACACCCCCTTGACAAAGCTCCTTTTTTTTAATCCCACCATCCCCCGCCCTGAGCTTCCCTCCTGTCATAATTCTATCCTTCCTCCGACTTTTCCCTCTCAAGCTCTACCCTTCCCCGCCCAGGCTAGCCCACGATTCAGGGTCACCCTCACCTCTTCCCTGTGGACTGCCCCCCACCATGTTCCCCTGAGCCTCCAAGGAGGGGGCTCAGGGGGCCCGATGGCCTCCCGCCCCCCGTGGCCCTACAGCCCCCGTGGGCCAGGGGAAGTGCCTCAGAAGGCCCAGCGCCGAGGATGGGCAACCGCACGTGGGACGGCTGCCATGTGGACTCGCGCGTGGACCACCTCTTCCCGCCGTCCCTCTACATCTTCGTCATCGGCGTGGGGCTGCCCACCAACTGCCTGGCCTTGTGGGCAGCCTACCGCCAGGTGCGGCAGCGCAACGAGCTGGGGGTGTACCTGATGAACCTCAGCATCGCCGACCTGCTTTACATCTGCACCCTGCCACTGTGGGTTGACTACTTCCTGCACCACGACAACTGGATCCACGGCCCCGGGTCCTGCAAGCTCTTCGGGTTCATCTTCTACACCAACATCTACATCAGCATCGCCTTCCTGTGCTGCATCTCGGTGGACCGCTACCTGGCCGTGGCCCACCCACTGCGGTTTGCCCGCCTGCGCCGGGTCAAGACGGCCGTGGCCGTGAGCTCCGTGGTCTGGGCCACGGAGCTGGGGGCCAACTCGGCACCCCTGTTCCACGACGAGCTCTTCCGCGACCGCTACAACCACACCTTCTGCTTCGAGAAGTTCCCTATGGAGGGCTGGGTGGCCTGGATGAACCTCTACCGGGTTTTCGTGGGCTTCCTCTTCCCGTGGGCCCTCATGCTGCTGTCTTACTGCGGCATCCTGCGGGCTGTGCGGGGCAGCGTGTCCACCGAGCGCCAGGAGAAGGCCAAGATCAAGCGGCTGGCCCTGAGCCTCATCGCCATCGTGCTGGTCTGCTTCGCGCCCTACCACGTGCTCCTGCTCTCGCGCAGTGCTGTCTACCTGGGCCGCCCATGGGACTGTGGCTTCGAGGAGCGCGTCTTCTCGGCCTACCACAGCTCGCTGGCCTTCACCAGCCTCAACTGTGTGGCTGACCCCATCCTCTACTGCCTCGTCAACGAGGGGGCCCGCAGCGATGTGGCCAAGGCCCTTCACAATCTGCTCCACTTCCTGGCCAGTGACAAACCACAGGAGATGGCCAACGCCTCGCTCACCCTGGAGACCCCGCTCACTTCCAAGAGGAACAGCATGGCCAAGGCCATGGCAGCTGGCTGGGCGGCAGCTCCGCCCTCCCAAGCGGACCACGTGCAGCTGAAGACGCTGCCGCCCGCACAGTGACCCTCCACTCGTGCAGAACCCCCCCACTCCTCGAATGTTATCCCACACTCCCTTCCCTCCTGGTCTGATGTAAGCAAACTGTATGCAAACGAGGCCGTGTTCCTAGTCATAAGAGTAGAAGAAAAAAACAGGAAAACAGTGAGGCTGGTGGGTCAGTCATCATCCTCTACCATGACCCCCTAACAATTCGGTTGAACTGTGCCTAGCACTGTGCTGGCTGGTGCTAGCGACACAGCGGTGACGAATGGCCCTCCTTCACATGCTCCCACTCCGATGGGGGAGACAGACCTGTCCCCAGACAGGGATGACCCAGAGTGCATGGGGCTCACACAGGGGCGCCCAGAGGGCATCTGACCCAGGCTGAGGGTCAGGGAGGGCTCCCTGGAGGAGGGGACAAGGAAATTAAGTCAAATATTCGGTCTCCAGAAGGTAACGACAAAAGGAGAGAGAGAAAAAAAAAGGATTATTTCCAACAAGGAGGTAAAATTTGGGGACTGAAGGGGAAGATGGGAGAAGAAATTCACCGAGGGGCAGAATGGTCATTTTCACCCTTGGGAAGCCCCTGGTCATCTGAGGGAGTGAGGGCAAGAAGAGCGAGTGTGAGTTTCTAGATAAACAGCATTCTCCAAGTCAGGACTGAGGGGGAGGCAGACTCAGAACCCAAGTGAAGGGCAATCGGGGCAGACCAGCTGGAGGAGAGCTGAGCAGGGCAGGCTTGGGAAGGGGCTCAGGACAAGAGAAGGGTATTTATTCATTCATTCATTCATTCATTCATTCAATAGAGATTTATTTATATCCACTCTCGGCCCAGCCCTGTGTTGGCTGGGGCTAGGGACGCAAGGGTGACCAAGACAGCCCAGGCCCCCACCCTCATGGAGCTCATGGTAAACAAGTAAATAAAAATAAATATAATGTTTGGAATTGATAAGTGTCCTGGGGAAAAAGAAAGCCGATTGAGGGGACAGAGAATGACACAGACTCGGATCTAGAGAAGGAGGTCAGGGGAGGGCTCACTGGAAGGTGACATTGGAACAAAGAGCAGGTGCGGGGGGGGGGGAGTGGTCAGCCCTGTGGCTGTCAGGCAGAAGAGGACTTTGGGCAGGGGGAACAGTAAGTGCAAAGCCTCTGGAGCGAGAGAGTACCTGAGTTTTGAGGGAGAGCAAGTGGAGTGGTGCAGCTGGAGCAGGTGGGAGGCTGGGAGGGTGAGAGGAATGGTTGATGATTGATGGGACTGGCAAGGGACTGGCAAGGGACAGGCCGATCTTTGGATCAGGGTTTTGTAGGTCCTGGGGAGGACTTTTCCTTTTACTCTGAAATAAAGGAGAGCCACAAGAGGACTCTTGGCAAAGGAGGGATGGGATCTGACTTAAACGTTAACAGGATCCCGGCGGCCCCGAGTGGAAACAATATGGGAAGGGCAGCAGCCTGGAGGCCAGCGAGGCCAGCGACAGGTGACTGCAATAGTCCAGGCGGGAGATGTGGGCAGCTGAACGGGGTAGGGGTGGGGTGGGGTGAGGG